GCTCCCCTTCCCGGGCTGAGCACACACCGGATTTGACAACCGTTCTACCAGCATAGTAGAAGCATATCTCTATAGAAATAAAGAGCCTATCCTTGAGCTCAGCCTGTTTTTGCTGATAACCTCTCCACCTCCTGAAGTCGGTGGTCAAGGGGCGTTTGAGGAACTTACAGGAGCCACTTTAATTTCCCAGAGCCCTTGCCAAGCAAAGACCAGAAAGTTTGAAATAAACTGAGGTGATGTGTGCCACACTAAATATTGCTAATGAGCATCAGGTGTTTGCCAAGAGGAGCCTGACTCCTCATCCTCTGTATGGTAATTATTTTAAAGATCTACTTAGCATTTAGATTGCTTGGGGGAAGAAAAGCATCCAGCAAATGATTGCCTTGAGAGAGAGAAATGCCCGGGTATTAAATGGGTCTCCTTGAATGCTGTTTTCATCTATCCAGACAGAAAACAGAGGTGGCACTTTAGCCTGGGATAATTAGAAGGGCTTTGACATCATTGGGCTGTCCTTGTCAATGGCACTATAACATCTCGCCTCAAGATTAAAGAGAGGGGGAAAGAATGGAGCAGGTAGGGGAACAATAAAAGAGCACACAATGGCGTGCTTAAGCAAGCTAAAACCCATGGGCATTAAACAATGTCCTGAAGTCCGCACACAAAAGAGAAAGAGAGAGAGAGCGCAAAGGGAGGGGAAAAACCTGCTTTGAGATGCGCCAACGTGAATTGCTCACGCTTTGTAATTTATAACCCAAAGGGTAAACACTTCAGTACAATTTACACACAGCTACATCTGTCAGGTTTTTAAAGATCTTTCTTTTTCAGCTATTAGTGATCTTGGCTGTGATGCCGTTCAGCTCTAAGGCAGAGGTTGGCGAAACTCCACAATAAGAAAAATAATAAAAGAGCACCCCCCCCAGCTTGCTGCAGATGCTGAGGAGGAAGAACCGCTCAGTCCTAGCAGCTAAATGCAGGGTGGCCTAGATGTTCACTGGGAAGTCTTTTCACTGGGGAGGGTTTTAAGAGACATGGCAGGCTGTGTCCATTAGCACCGGGCAAATACGGGGCCAGGGGTGCCAACCTGAATAAAATTTTGGGGGGCCCAAGTAAGCCCTGGCCATGCAGAATCAATCACAAGACACACCATTTGAATGGCAAAGCCCGTCAACTGGGGGGATGACTCCCTCAAATATTTAATTGAGGGGGTCAAAAGGATTTCAGCCCCTAGGAGTTGGCTTCTATAGAAGGGGTCCCACTGTTTTAGTAATTCTAACTTTTACTAAATCATAGCACCATTAGAGAAATCGAGTCCCCTCCCTGCACAAGCTCATAACATCACCCCGCTCTCAGAAAAAGGCATCTGAGCAGAGATGTAAAAGAATAACAGAAAAGTTAATGAAGGCGTTTGAAACAAATCATAACACAATGGCACTTTTAACCCATTCCTTCCAAGCAATCCCCATTCCATTAAGAAATCTCCAGGCCTCTTGCTCTCCCTTCTTGGTGTATACTCCATAGACACCATTCTGCACCCCAAAAGAGCTTACTCAGTCACCCACCCACACATGCTGCTCTTTCACATGCCGATCCATTTATTTAGGGGCAAAAATGAGCTTTTAAAATTTCTTGCTATTGTTAAAACTATTGGGACTCAGAAACCTTTGCCAAGCTACTAAATCTATCTATCTATCTATCTATCTATCTATCTATCTATCTATCTATCTATCTATCATCTATCTATCTATCTATCTATCTATCTATCTATCAATCATCTTCTATCTATCTATCTATCTATCTATCTATCTATCATCTATCTATCTACCGGTATCTATCTATCATCTTATACTCCTAGATTAAGCAGAGAAGTGGAATAAGAGGTATGTAGAGATAGCATTGGGTGCTTCATTGTAAGGCCCTGAAAACTCGAAGTTCTTCTTATATATGGAGGTCAGTTATACAAAACATACATGCACATTGCATTTTATCTGCCCTAACAATGGTTACATTCCTACAGGCTTTCAATTGTGTTTTGCATTGGTTCCCATGGAAATGTTACCAGGGGCGGCTGATCTTCATTGAAACCATGTCTGTTCAGTTCTTAGTGAAAACTCTGGGCCAGTGTCCATCTGCTTTTCTTTAACAGCAGACTAACAAGACATTACACAGCTCTACTTCTGCTTTACATTTGCAGGCGTGGCAGTGGAGGTGCTGGACCATTATCTTGCCTTGGTAATGGACAGGATGAGAGCCAACAAGGATGAGAGCTCAATCCAAATAAGACTCAGGCACTTTTAGTTTCCCTAGACTGGATGAGTGGGAGGTAGCCTGCTGTTGATGGGGTTACACTCCCTCTGAAGGAGCAGGTATGCATCTTGGGGATCCTCCTGAGCTGGAGCCTCAGGCAGCCTTGGTGATGCAGAATGCCTTCCATCAGCTTCAGCTGGTAGCCCAGCTATGCCCCTTTCTGGACAGGGATAGCCTCACTTCTGTCATCTATGCTCTGGTAATCTCTAGGTTATATTACTGCAATGTGCTATACATCGGGCTGCCTCTGAAGATGGTTTGGAAACTTCAGTTGGTGCAGAATTCAGTGGTTAGGTTGCTCACTGGAACAAGATGGTTATGCTAATTCGGGCCCAGCTTCACTGGCTATCAGTTAGTTTCCGGGCCCATTTCAAAGTTCTGATTTTGACCTATAAAGCCTTAAACAGCTCAGGACCTCAAGGATTGCCTCTCCTCATATGAACCATCCCAGACCCTGTGATCATCATCTGAGACCATTCTTTGTTTGCCTCTTCCATGAGAGGTCTGGAGGGTGCCAACATGAGAATGGGTCTTTTCTGCAGTGGCTCGCTGCTTGTGGAATGCTCTCCCCAGGGAGGCTTGCCTCACGCCTTCATGACTTATCTTTAAGCGCTAGGCAAAGATGTTCCTCTTCTTCCAGGCCTCTGGCTAATTCAACAATCTATGTCCTCTTAAACTGTGTGTGAAAGGGTGTTGTTGTTTTTGTTACTGTGGTATGTATCTATGTGTTTTTATATTGTAAAGTGTCCTGTGGTCCTTGGATGAAGGGTGGTATAGATAGAAATGAAGTACAACCGTACCTTGGTTTTTGAACAGCTTGGTTCTCGAACGTTTTGGTTCCCGAATTATTGAAACCTAGAAGTGAGTGTTCTGGTTTTCAAACATTCTTTTGGAAGCCAAACGTCCAACGGGGCTTCTGAAGCTTCCGATTGGCTGCAGGAGCTTCCTGCAGCCAATCAGAAGCTGCACTTTGGTTTTCGAATGTTTTGGAAGTTGAACGGATTTGCAGAACAGATTCCGTTTGACTTCCAAGGTATGACGGTAATAAATAAGTACCGTATTTAAAAAAGCAATGCCTTAGCAGTACTGATGGGTCCTAGCATGTAATCAATCTTAATTCATTACACTCTATTTGTTTATCAGTGGACTGATTACATTTACATTCCACCTTTCCTCCAAGGGGCCCAGCATAGTTCTTCTCCTCCCCATTTATCCTCACAGCAACCCTGTGAGGTAAGTTAGGCTAAGATTGAGTAACCAGCCCCAGGCCACCCAGTGAGTTTCATGGCAAGTAGGGAAATAACTGCCATGTAAGAGTTTTTCCCATGACCTAGTCTCCAAAAACATGTTCCCAAAAATCTTAAGAACACATGTACATAGGAGCAAAATGTTAAAAGTGAAGGAGAGCCGCTGAATATATACAAGGGTGTAAAAACATATATACATGCCTCAGCCTAAGTTTGTGAATCCAAATCTCTCCCCAAGAGATTCTACACAGACAATGCAAAATGCATCACTGTTTGGTATCTAAAATGTAATGCATCTCTCAAGTCTTCAGCACACTTTATTTTGAAGTTAACCGCTGATAAAGACTAATAAAAACGGAGGTGTAAGAAAGGTCAATCCAGTTTAAAGCCAGGAAATTCCACATGGGTGTTTATAATAGCAATTTAGCACCGGTACAAGCTCCTTTACATGAGACTGCATTCTTTTTGTGTACTCCTGATGCTGTGCTCATGTTAACTTCAGGTACCTTCCTGAGGCTGTCATGTCTTCTGTGTCCATGTTCAAAGTGCACTTTGTGCTGTGATAAATGTGTCCATCTGCCAGTTTGAAATGAATAAAGTTTGCAGTGATGCTCCATTTGAGAAGCTCTCCACTTCGTGCTGAATCCTAAATCTGCCTGCACGTTTCTTTTTCATGCCTAGACCCTTGGAACTACTGCCAGGTCTTTTAATGGCAGCTAAAGCTGGTGTAACATTGAGCTATCACTGGAGGTGTGAATTTACAGCTGCAGAGGCGCCTTCCCGTGGTTGTTGCAGTCCCAGAAGTAATCCAGTGCTGAAGCGTTAATGCAAATGCAGCCTAAGATGGAACCCAATTAAAATGCTGAAACACATTTTCAGAAGTGGAGTTTATTCCAGCATCCTGACACATTCTGGTACATGCTTTGGTTAGGGAAAGGGGGAAAACAAACCTGTGTCCACATAAATTACTTTTGGCAAAGTGCATTTTAATGAAAGGAGAGGAGAAAACAAAGCCTTCCAAAAGGATTTCTGGACAGCGTTTTTGGCTCCTGTTAAATAAATCCTGCTAATTCCCCATTCTGCACATCCAATTACACTGGATAAGATTTCATTAAATCTTTTAAAAATCCCTGTTCCACCTTTTCCTGGTAATGAAATCACTTGTCATTGTTTCATTCTGACTGCATATTTCCCAAGCTGAAGGCTACACTCAGCCCCTCTACTTAAAACACTGCAAGGCTTTCTTGGGGGGTGGTCTTTGCCATGGAAGGTGGCTTCCCAGACAAGCATCCCCTGCTGGAGCAGAAACCCCAGCCCCAAATCAGATGCTGGATTCCTCCCTGCATCCAGCATTCAGACTTCTGTCTGTGGTCCCCAACACACAGAATAATGGACACAGCACCTAACAGGTGGTTAGGGATGCCAACCTGCCGAGTATCTTAGCACAGCCACTCTGGACAGGGCTTGGATTTAGACCTCCAGAGAAGACACACAGCACTCTCTTAGCAGACTATGCCTGCCATCTGCTGCTCAGCCAGGGGACTGCAAACCCAGGTGTGTTTCTCAATCAGGGTCTTTAAAGGAATGTCACAGGAAGTAGCAGTATATTATGTTGATTTTGTAATGGTAGAGGGAGGCCATTTTGGAAACACCTTGATTTTATTTGAATTTGAAAAGCAGTGTTTGAATCCTGGGGCATGGGGACTTTTAGTACCACCTAGCAATTTAAATGGCTTGATATTAAGACACGTAATCTTCACTTAAGCAGTGATGTGAACATACAAGTCTTTGCAACTGTCAGGCTACAACTTAGGAAAAGGGGAAATCCTTGCTTTTTGTTAGCAGACACATGGAAGTTAAAAGCAGAGTAATTTCTCCTTTTATGGCGGAAAGACGCATACTGAAAGCAAGCCATAATACTGACAGGTCTTACTGTCGCCCCTCGTATTCATCCTGCTCTGATGTTAGCTCCAGCAGTGTGAGGCTTGGTTTTGATTTCCCTGCTAAATGAGCCATACTTCTTGAGTGCCTCTAATGTGATCCGAAAATCTCTCATTACCTCTGAAAGCTTCCCAAATCTTACTGTTGTGATCCCTTAGAGTTGCCTGCTTAATGGCTGCAACAGACAATCATGGAGTCCCCCAAAGTTACAGTGAAGGTGACTTCCCTTAGCTGTTTGCTTCCCAGCTCGATCTAAGAGAGAAACAGCAGCATCAGATACAGACAGCAGCGAATGGCCCTTTCCAAGTGCTTACTTCCTCAACAGGGCCATCTCAGCAGCTCCCCCTCTTCAGAAGTCTCCTCTACCTCCAGATATCAGGACTCGCACACAATCACACACCTATACTCTTTCTACATGCAGGTTTAATAGTCAGAAACTGATACGGCACAGTTCTCTCACATGATTCTACCACCTTAGGGCCAATTCAGACATGCATGACTAATTATCAACATCATGCAGAGAATTTAACGTCTGAAGTGTTCATATTTGAAGTCTGTGAGTGCTCATTACACAGTTCCAGCAACAAGTGGAATGTATGATGCCATGGTTGAAAAGATTTCAACTTGGTGCCATATACAGAAACCACATGAAATTGTGATCGATTTAGCTTTCATATTAATGCATTTGTGTGGCGTTACATATATAGCCAAGGGATCCTGGTTTAAAACAAACAATTCCTAACTCATGGTTCAAAGCTGGCCTCTTGAGCAATTAACCATTGCTTTAAACCAGAATCCCTGGTTTGTTTAAAACGCTAATTTGAGATTTTTCAAAAGTGAACTAAACTTGGCAGAAGCCCAGTCAGGTGGGAAGAGAGAGGGGGGAAGCATGAAAGCCGATGCTTCATTCCAGACTCATAGATTCTTCCGCTAAATCATGGTTTGATGTTACTAGACCTCTTTAATGTGAACCAGACCTCTTGGTAGTGAAGACCTCTGGTATAAGGTGACCACATGAAGGACTCTTTAGGACATTGCGGGGCATATACTAATGTCAGCATGCAGGCAGCACCTCAGTTCTCTGAGATGACACAGACTTGACAGGCAAACAGTGGTACTGCTGTGCCAAGGAACAATTCACTAACATGCAGGCCATGACTTTCTCTCCTGCTGTTCCCTTTCAAGTATAATTCAAACCAGGTGGAAGAGGCCATGGTCCTTCTCTTGTTAGCATTCTCCTAAAGGGAACCATGTTTGCACAAAAGGGTCTGCTCTCGAAACGTTTAGTTCCTGGGAACATATACACACCAGAATTCATGTTGAGTTGCCATATGGGTTGCATATCAACACTGAGCTCATGCAACCTATGCAGTGCCATGCAGCTCATCTGAGACTTGATATTGTGCATGTTAACTCAACAGTAAGTCCCACTGGGTGGTATTCAACTACCATGTCCCATCAGCTCAAGGATTTCCATTTGCGCAATGGGGGTGCTGCCCCCCCCATTCCCAGCGTCCTTCCCAAATGTTCTCCAGAGGGCTGTGGAATTGATTTAGGGGACACACCGGGGGAGAAGAGGGGCAGGACATTCCGTTGCTCAAGCAGAAGTCCTTGAACTAAGAGAACATTCAAGTAACACCACTCTGGCTGTGATCCAATGAGTTCAATGGGCTTATTCCCACACAGATATCGACAGGAGCACAGTCTTAGTTGAGTGCACTGCAGTCACAAGCTTTCAGCCAGTAGCAAAGGGCCAAAGTGCTAGTCTCTAAGTCTGCTGGGAAAAGTGACGGGATCAGGAGGAAGTCAGCAAATGGTCCGAGTTCATGTTTTACACTCCAGGGAGGAAAAAAGTAAATAAACACAACCCAGCAAAGTTGGCCTTACCTCGTGCAAGGATGCAAAAGTCTGGCTTTGGTCTCGGGAACAGGCTGTGAAGCAACTCCTTAGGTCTTAAGAAGGAAATCCAGTTCTGCTTGATTTGTTAACATGGGCCAGGCACAAATGCACAGCTTGACCATTTGGGCATCGGTTCTTCAGCACAAGCTGTGCTTACAAGAATATGGTAAATAATATAATGGGTTGCTTTCTGCATGTAACTGTATATCTCTCATGCATGTTAGTGAAGGCAGAAGGGAATGATTTTTGTTCTCTTCTGAGTCCTTCAAGCCCTTTCACTTAGCACAGAAAGCACCAACACTTTTAACACAAGCTGTCAGGGTAATGTCATTGAATGCTTCTGGATGAGACTTAATGGATGGTTCCCTAGCAGCTGCTGCCTCACATTTATCAGTCTCAAGAGTGACCTCCAATAACCTATCCACTATAGCTTAGGCATTCATTTTCTGAACATTGTTTTCCTAGTGGCGGAAGAAAAGAGGTAAAGACAGTACCAAACAACAAAAAGCATCACTTATGCCGCATCCTCTGTAAGGGAAAAGGGGACCTTTTGTCCATGTGCTTTCAGACAGCATTTGCACTTCAGGACACATTTAAAAAAATAAAAGTAAAATAAAAAATACCAACAGACCATTTAGCCAGTTGGGGTTTTAAGTTTCTTACTGCAATGTACCATCAACCCTATCAGAAACAGCAAACAAGAAGCCGTACAGAGAATCTCTGCAATGAATTATATTAACACACGCCAGTGAGGAACCAAACACAGAAACAAAACAAAAAACGACAATAAAGACCCTAGCTGCTGCTTCTTTCATCCCCCACCCCCCACAATTAGGCATCTCCCAATAACTTAGCCACAACAATTCTTGCTAGTTTTCTCATACAGCATTTTTGTACAACACACATGCAAAATGAGAAGTGATGTCAGGTCGAAATGCCAGTGAAGCCAAACAAATTCACCAGGAGTTCATATTAAGCGTTGTCACAGACATCCATTGCGACAACTCCATGGGGCCAGAGAGCACAAGTTTCCCTGGAGAAAAAGGAAAGGAGGAGAGGAGAAGAGTTGTCAGTCAGTCTTAGTCACACCTAAGTCTGGGCTACTGGGCTGCACCCTTCCCGAGCCGTGAGCTGCTGTGGAGCTTCTTATGGAGTTACTCACAGAGGGGAAACGGCTAGCAGATGGGCTATTTCCAGGGATCTTTCCATGTATCTCAGAGTGCTTCGTTAATGGATCCAAAAACACTGACATTTCAACTGAAATAGTTATCGGCTGAGGCTCACAATCAAAATACTTAGGGTTTAAAGATAATCAAACTTCATCCCCCACCCTAACCCCTTCCATTCCCAAGAGTCTCATGCAAAAGCATCAGAGAAGTTGCCCGGCAACCATCATGTGGCTTGAAGCAGCTGCCATTGTTGGCCCAGTATGTCTGACTGGCAGATGTTGGTCACTAGTCTGCTGGACTGGCTTTCTAAGCAAAGGCCACTGACGAAGTGCTGGATGAAGTTGCCTTTCATCTTCCATTTCTGTGAGAGGAAAGAAGGGAAGGAAGACAAAGAACAACATCAAGCGATTTAACCTGACCCCTTCTTTACTTAGTTTCTTGCTTGTTATGTTTAAAGCACACAGCTGTGTCTGTGACGCTACACACTCAAGAAGTGCTAAATAAATCGTATTTGTTCACGGTGTTATTTAGTGTCACCATTTTGAATTTCTGGCATGTGCATGACAGTTTCAGAGCTTTCCCCTTCTAATTCAGGAGCACATCTCAGTGAGAAAGGTATCCAGCGTCTCTAATGATTACAATAGTCACAGTACTATGCGGTGCACACTCACCACAGAGCAAGTCCCACAGAAATCTTATTTCTGAGTAAACATGCATAGAATTGCATCTGTCAGTATGAGGCTTGGGGCATCAAGGATGACCTGATTAAGGGGGTGGAACAAGTGGCGAAGGCATCAGACATTTGGATCATTGGGATTCTGACTGGGAGTGGGGATGAATGGCAACCAATCCCCTAGCTTTTGGAATCACATATATTTTGTACAATCAGTGGCATTGGGCTGCTTCCCCCCCTCCTCCCAGCAGATTCTCTATTCTCTTTTTTCTCTTGTGAATTGCCTCCAGCAAAATTTCCATGTCTTGACTCGGGGCTACTTCTTACGAGGCAATTTATTTTTAGGCACTGCTACCCAAGTTCTAAAATACTGAAGTGTTGCTTGGATTAGTTAGGATAAGCACACGAGTATAAATCATACCCCCCCACACACACTTTCAAATGTTTTTGAGTGGACCCAACGGTTTCCTAGTCATCACCAACACACATTTATTCACATGGACACTTCACGACTGAGATAATGTGCAAGCATTTTGTACCTGGATATGTGTTATCTGAGTGCAAAGCCTCTTATAAGAAGATGCAGCTCTGAACAGGTAAGTGCACCTATTACCTCTTGGTTCAGCAGCCAGGCAGTCAGGCACAATGTGTGCACAAACCCTAAGTTTCTTTTAGCTAAGGACAGTCTGGCTTATTAATATAAAAACCAGTAATTTATGTGACCGAGTGTCATTTTCTGCCCTCCCCTACAGCTGTGGCTCAGCTCACTTACCCAAGCCATTCTACGCTTCTTTGCTTTGTAAATGGCATTTTGTAGTGTGTACACATTTCTGGTCTTGTGGCACATGGTGGTGCAAACCCCTGATCTATTAAGGGCTAGTGGGTGGACAGTTGATTCTGCCAGACAGCAGGGAATTGGCCATGGCTTGCTTCCAACTGCATGATTCCATTTTTTAGTACAGGCAATCTGTGGTCCTCCGGATATTGTTGGCGTCCAACTCCCATCACCCTTGATCATTGGCCATGAGAGTTGGAGTCCAGCAACATCCTTGTTATAGGTTCTTATAGCACATGAAATTAGACCCTCTCACCTGCCCCAAACATAGCCGCTTGGTGTTTTAACTAGTCCTGTGTGCTTAGAAGCCAGCTAGCATGGCAAAATGAAATGCTCAATAAAGTAACAACATAGTATAGCTGTGAGAACTCCCTAATGCCAATTCTGTGGCACATTAGAGAAGACTGCTCAGCAGTTGAACGGGCTGAACCTTCCCAACGGCTCGTCTTTCCCCTTTTGCTTCTTCTTCAGTCAGGTATGACAGAGGGCCAGGGTGCTCTTAGCAACTTGACCACTCAGGGATATTAAATTGCTATTTGTCTCAGCTGCTTGATTGATGAGGGCAAAAAGGGACAGCCTCCAACCTCATGGCACATCCAGGTAGGAAATGCTGAGAGCTAGAAGCTCCACCCAGGCTGCTTGGCCCCTTAAAATTCACGCTAGCACACAGTACGCACTCATAACGGGCAATTCTTCTCAGGTTGACAAGCTGAACAGTTTTAGACAACCAAGACATATGCCGTAGGTTGTAGGGCAACCAGCAAATGTCCAGATGTTAAAATCTATAAACACTTGAAGTAAAGGCTTCATTAGCCATTATCATTAGTTCATTTTCTTGGAAGTACCACCTGCTACACCTGATTTCCTTTGGCAAGATCATTATTTGTCTTGAATCGATTTGTCTTCAAAGCACTCTGCCTGCTGCCCCGTTACGGAATCATTTAATGATTTAACATTGGCATCCTATACATTGATATTTAACCCACTTTCATGATCGGACTCCTTCAGTTCTGTTGGTGGACTGACCATATCTCTCATACAAGCAGAACTACCCAGTAAAGCAACAGTGTGCAGGAAGGGTTGAAGAATGAGAGAGAGAATTAAAACTCTCCACAAAATCCAAGATGGGGCCCCCTTTCTAACAAACCTATTTGATCTCAGTAGCCACTTTTTATATGGTAAGGTTGTGTAAGTACCAGGTGTTCTCTTTGTGATGATTTGAAGGACACCCAGTATCTGCTCTGCAAACACTTTGGAATCTGTAAAAGAATAGGGTTACCACGCTGAACGTTAGGCAGCTACAGTTCTTCCAGGAAGGGAGGTACCATTCTGATGACCAAAAGTGGCATGTGTGATTTGCAGAACAATGGACTTGGTGAGGTGGAGAGCTTCAAACGTGTCCACTTTAGCACTATTTCCCTGTTGTGCCCCCCCCTTTTGCCATCACGTCCAAAATTGGTGTAGTCTTGGGAGGGACTCCCAAAAAGATTTGCTGGGGGTGGGGACTAGCCCTTGCCTGAGGGCAGTGAGTATAGACCTCTGATCTAGAGGCAGTGGGAGAGGATGAAATGTTTTCTATAAGCTTAGCCTGGTAGGCCAGCTGTAGACTTTCCTGGAGAAGGCAGTCACTTAGTAACTCTTAAAAGAGCTCAGAAATTTCAGCCAGTTCAGAATGCCACTGTCTGACTAATAACAGGTGCTGACTGGGCAGGGTATATTAATCTGATACCATTTCGCTGGAATTGGTTGCCTATTTGTTCCCAACCTCAATTCAAAGTGCTGGCTCTTATTTTAAAAGCTCCAAGTCAGGAGTGGGGAACCTCTGGCCCTCCAGCTGTTGTCAAACTACAACTCCCATCAGCCTCAGCAAGCCTGGCCAATGGCCAGGGATGATGGGAGGTTGCAGTTCAGCAACATCTGGAGGGTGGAAGCTTCCTCACGAGGGTCCCCATAACTGCTTTTAGTGGACTAGGACTACAGTGCCTGGAGAGCCACCTTTCCCTGTGTGTCAGCCCCCTCCCTATCTCAGATCAACAGATCTAATGCATAGTCTTTTGACAAGATTGTGGTGGGTTAGACTTGATCATCCTGGTACTCTTTACTGTCTGTAAGGGGACCAGCTGTGATTTGTCAAGCTCTTCCATTGTACAGAGATTGCTGTCAATGGTAATTAGCCAGGGATGTTTCCCTTCCTTTGGCCCCCAGCAGCATCCTGGCCCCTTTGAGAGACCCATGTATCTTGCTGTTTTTCTGGACTAGAGGCCCACTGATCTGTAAACCTCTTTAAGTAGAATTGACATCCCTCGCTCATTCCTTAGCAGTGGCTTGCAGCAGCAGCAGGGCACCCAGCAAGCATTTTCTCCTGCTAATGAACGACACCAAATGAAAGAAACTCCTCTATTAATTGCACGACTTGAAAGCGCAGCGGTTGTATCAACAGAATCTTTTTCAGTCGTTCCGATTCAACAGAAAGGTAAGGTGAGAGAGGGCACAAGAGTGAGGACGGAGGGCAGGGATGACATGTAGGGAACTGTATTACCGCAATTATTGCATCTTGTAATTAGTTAGCTGTAAATGGTGGGCTTGGTTTCATTAACCTCCCACCCCCACCCCGCCACACACATCCAGGCTTGCCACTGCATTTTCCAGGACACGGCCCAAAGAGCAGTAATGTCACTTTACAAGACACAGCTTCGTTTGAAATTTCACATCTGATGGCTTGAGTGCACAAAAGAGTTATTAAAAATAACCCAGCCTTGGGCCAGCAGAGTGGAGATGAGATCTTCCATAGCAAAAAGGAAGAAAGAAGAAAACATTCAAGTTTGACCTTGGCTAATATTTTAGGTCTGAATCATGCATGCAAACTGGTTGGCCGTTTGCAAGCCTGTGGGCCCAGATCTACATCAACATTACTCAAACACTGGGCCTTACTGAAATGGTGTCTCCTCAATGCGAGTACCAGCAAATCCCCACATACTGAGTAAAGGTGGTTGGGAGAAAGGGATGTTTAGGAGCAGGGAGGGAAAATAGGCCCTCCCTCCTCTGAAGAGAAAGGGTCAGAGGCTGAATGAAAGAAAATTAGAAAAAGGTAAAACGTTGATCAGACTTCTCCTTCTCCTAGATTGGCTACCTTCCCAGGTGGACACGGCCCATCTGCCCCTCACTTCTCTCTATACTAGCATGTGCAGAAACCGCATTAAAAGCAAGTGTTCTGGAATCAAAGATTGTGTAATATATGGACTACAAATGCTAATCTTTCTCATTCCCACTTTGAAACCCCTTCACTTCAAGCTATGCACTAAATAAAACCAAAAGAATTTGAGCTGTGGGAAGCTAATGCCTACTAAAAAAACCAAGTGCTATTCTGCTGCAGGGGTCACGTTCAGAAAGGAATGTTTTCTCAGATTATTATAAAGTAGATGCTGATCCAAGCACCTGAAAAATCTCTCTCTGTGTGTGTGTGTGTGTGTCTGCAATGGCAATCTGTCTGCTCCTGTAGCGTTCCATTTCCTCCTCTCTGGAAGCAAGCAACAGAAGAAACCGCATGATAAACTTCCATCACTTTCTGCTAGCAGCTAATGTTTCACACCCAATTTGTCCATAACAAAATAAGATTTTCAGAATATTTGGGAATAGATGTCTCCTCCTCCTCCTCTTCTTCTCTTCTTCTTCTTCTAGTACCCAGATACACATCTAACATAGAATAATTATTCCTCAACATGGCAATTAAGTCATTCCAGTGCAACTAATATAGCAGGTTAAAAAAAACCCACCTATTGATAACACTTCAGAAATACAGCAAAAATATTTTTAATGGAAGAACAATTCTCCATTGTCCCAATTCTTACATAAA